ATCTCAGAAATCTAAGTGTGTATGTTGTTATTTCTTTTCCAACAGGCTGCATAATTTTTATGGATTATTTTTTTATCCATTATTTTTTTATGCATTATAATTTTTATCCATTATTCCATTTGTAACAATGCTGAGATAACAGATCCTATCTCATGATCCATGGCACACACCAGGCACTCATGGGAGCCAGAAGATACCACCCCTTATGCAATTGGATGGCTGGAGCGGTTGGACCAAGACTCAGTTCCAGCAGGAGACAGACAGGGGTGCTAATGGAATCTCTGTGATAGGAAGGGTGTGAAATACTGGGAGCCAGGCATGGAGGGGACTGTAGTTTTAAAACTGCAGAATCTTTCCCATCTATCTGCCCTCTTACTATTTTCTCTGTGTTTTTTTTCCCCTGCTTATTAATTAAGGGTTAGATATTTGAAGCCAGCAGGCCTAAGTTTGAATCCTTGCTCTACCACTTAGTATTGTATTACTTAGACTCTTCAATCTTGTTTTCCCATCTGTAAAATGGGGATACTAAGACCTATTTCTTAGACGAGTTTTAAGGGTTAAATAAGAGAATGTCTCTCTCTGTGCTCTCTGGCCCATAGACACACAGTTACGGTTTAAGGAACAGATAATGAAAATGAAGTAGAGGCAGAGAGAACGTGAAAGATATGCACATGGAGAGGAGTAATGAAAGGTAAGAGAAAGAAGAGAGATAAAGTCAGATGGAAAGGCAAAGACATGAGTGAAAGCCAAACATGAACTGTCAGAGGACAGAGGTAGATGTTTCATTTGTAGAAGCTGGCAATAAGATCCCAAGCCAAGATCCTGCTTTCTTCTTGCCCTTTGCTACCGGGGGACTCAAGTTCTAAGTCCCTGTCCCCCCTCCTGCACCTCCCTGCACTGTGATCATCACAGATCTGGCTCTACCCTGAAGCCGGAACAGCCCTGCCCTGTGCTTGTTCACATATCTCGGCCTGCACCATCATAGTTACCCAAGTCCATAGGCATTTTTCATTTTGAACACAACTGTTTGGAGTGCAAAAGCATCATGGTGTCAGCCAGTCAGTGCAATAACCAGGGGTAGTTTTATAGTCACTCCCGTGATGATAATAGCACTTTCATGTATCTCTGGCTGTGACAGGCAATTTTCTTTCAAAGACTGTTTTTTTTTCTGGAGCCCGGGATTTCTACTCTTGTCTCCATCATCTGGGATATTAAAACAGGGTCAGTGGCTTGGCAGGCTGACTAATTTCTGGTCTTTCCTAGCTCCTCTTTTCACCCTCCCTTGTTGTCACTTCTCCCATCTTGGCATCCCTCTACCTCTGCACCCCATCTAGTTAGGCTACACGGAAATGGCTTCTGTGGCCCTCCCTCCTGAGTAGTATTGTCATGTGTCTAACCTGAAGAGTAGAGGCTGAGTGGGGTGCAGCTGAAAATCCAAGAGAGGGTTCACCTTCTAAGCCTCACCCCTGTTCTCCATGGCCCCCACTCCCCCATGCTGTTCTGGGATGGAGCTGTCAGTTCCTTTCCACAAAAATATTTGAGCTTATTTTCCAGGGGGAACATTTTGAAGAAATTGGTGAATTGAACAAAGATTTAACATTAAGGAATTTTTCTATGCTAGAGACTGGGGGTGGGGTGAGGCAGCTAGTGTAATGTCTTTTTTTCTGGAAAATTCAGAAAAATTCCCATATAGATTAAGGACTGGGTGAGGAGAAATCTGGCATACGGGCAAGGGATATGGCAACCTTTGGATCCCTGCGTCCCTAAAGAGAGACTCTATGACTCTGCTCTTGCTGCCAAAAGTAGTCTCTTCCATTGTTTGCTGGTGTGGCAGTTGCTGGCCAGCAAAATCGCTTCCCTATTTCACCCAGGTAGGGTTATTCTTAGAATAAAGAACTAAACCTGCTTTGGGGGCTGCCCATTTGAGGAATTTTCTATTCCCTTCCTTGGCCCATGGTCTGATGCCAAAATCCTTTCTGAAGTCTAACTCCTGTTCCTCTTGCTTTGCCAACAGATCAAATCCTCTTGAAAATCAACATGACACCACACACTCCCCCTCCTCACTCATATCATCTCTTGTTTTTATTAAATAAAAGTGGAGCCATAAGATGTGTTTGGCCTGGATCCTGGCTTCATAAAACAAAACGAACATCCTCTTTATCAAGGGGCTCAAGTATTCAGAGATTTCTTAGGCTGTTTTGCCATGATGTAAATGGGAATCAATATTCAATAAGCCCTTGATGCACTTCACTAGTGGTTTACTTAATACCGGCTCCTAGTACAGTAAGTGGCATTGATATAGGGAGGACTTTTTAAAATAGCACGGCAGTCCTCACCTTCTGGATACTGGACCTGGTTTCCCCAAGAGAGAAGACTCAAGACACTGAACATGCAGGAAAGTCATCTTGCCAGGCTTGCTGCCTCAGCATAGACGCTCCTATAACTTAGCTTAAAAAAGAAAACAGATTCTATGTGTTTTATAGCAACCAGTGTAAGATATTCTAGAGGTTAGTAGGCCTACACTCCTATTAGGAAGTTTTCCACTATGTCTGGTCTGATTGCCTCCCCACTTCCAATCAATTAGTCAAACTGAAACCAACTGAAGGACAGAATTGATTCCACCATTAACAGGTAAGAGCAGACTCTCCAGTGCTCTCAGAGCCTACAGGGGTTAGTAATAATACCTCATTTCTCTGAGCCCCTGTGTTTGCTGCAGGGGAAGACTGATGGCTGCCTGGCCCCCTGGTGGATGCATGGTAGATCTGGGTTTCTCTGTGCCTAGTGACTGACAGTTTGGCAGGAAACTGAATAACAAAGATAAATCTTCTATAAAAATTACACATAATATATTTTAGACCCAAATGGATTTTTGAAAATTTATCAACAGTTTTGGATTGTCTGTGCTGTTGTTCTCCATTCTCAGTGGTCACAGAATATAGGAATTTACAATCCCGGGTAGAAGTGGAATCTTACAGAGATTTATCCTGCATTATGGTCTTGGCTAGGTCTCATCCCATTTAGGGGGTTTGACAGTTTGGAGGAAGCTAGGGGTAGAAGATTTTTCCATTTTACTGTTTGGGGATACAGATCTCTCTGCTGTCTGCAGTAACCCTGTAATTGTCTCTACACAGAGAGGTCCTGGCTTAAGTCTCGTAGAGCCATTTTAGACCAGACCTTTAGAAAGTTCCCAACCTGCTGCAGATAGGTTTAGTGAACCTAAAGCAAGAGACTGGCATTTGGCCTCTCTGTTTGGGCACACATAACAGGAGTGAGCCGTCCTAGTGTTTGCTTCTATTGTCTTTTATGGGGTGAGTTCTCCAAGGATATTTAGTGGATGTTTTGAAGGAGAGAAGTAAATAAACTCTTGTGGGTTTCTTGTCTTCAAAGTTCCTCACCTGGCAAAGAATACCCAGAGTGCTGAGTTTAGAAGGGCCTCAGAGATATGATAATGTGGCCTGGGGCTTTTACAACCAGTTTCTGGGGTACATAAGGGAAGGAGAAGGGTCTTTCTTTTCTCCTTTTCCAAATAACAGGAAAAGAGATCATTTAAAGCTGGAGGTGCTGAGGTTAAACTTAGTAAAGGACTTCCTAACAGTAAGCACAACATGACCAACTCATTTAGTTTAGAGGTCATTCTGGCCTTCCTCCCTGGCCTTCATTTCTGCTGCCCTGCATCGGATGCAAAGGCCAAGCGTCATTATGGCATCTCTTACTACATCAACATTCAGAGTTGACTGGATGGGTCTCCCTACCTCCCTCTCCCTTCATGTCCATCCCTCTTGCAGCTGTATACTTAAAAAAAAAAAAAAATTGTGACATGCTTTTCTTTGGTTAAAAATGCTTTCTTTGGTTACACAGAAGCAGTCTTCCCTGCCAAGCCTCCAAACAAGCTTCCATTGTTTTGTATTGTTTTGTTTTTTGCTTCTACTTTTTTTAAATATATTTATCTGGGAGAGAGAGAGAGATCGCACGCTCATGAGCAGGGGAAGGGCAGGGGATGAGGGAGAGAATCCCAAACAGACTCAACTTGAATCCAACCTTAAGACTACACTTTAAAATACAACACTCTAAATGAAGTTATTTTCAATAGACTTTAATTTTTAAAATCTTGAAAATCAAAGTTAGTTAAGCAGAATAAGAAACTCAAAGCGTGGCAGATAAAGCGAAGACAAAAAGACAATCATGACCATTGAAAAGGATAGGACCCACATGGTTCGGCAGACATGTAAATACAAAAATTCTTAAGACTGACAAAACGGTAGAAAAGTAGAAGTGTTATAATGAAAGAAATGGAAACAAATAGCAATGCTAACCTTAGACATAAGATAGGCCCAGAGAACTCTGTGGTAGGGAGAAAGATGCTAAAATAATAAAACAAGCCAAAGCACAATATACAACTTTAAGGAAAGAAATCATTTAACTGAACATAAAGTGGCATTTTACTACGGCGGAAACAGGTGGTAGAAAAGTGAAGTTTCAAGGAATTTTTGGAAAGCTGTTTCCAAGGGTGGCAAAAAGGAAAATAATACAAATATTTAAGTATACGCATATTTATGAAAAATCCAAAACCTCTAATAGGTGAGTTTAAAATCCCGTCTCCCAAAGAAACGGCCAGTAACTTGTAGAGGACGCTCAGTTTGTCATGTGCACAAACGTTCCCAAGAGTGAACCACGGGCACCGCGCATCAAACTTTCTCCTGTGGCCACCTGCAGGAACAACGCGCCCATCTAAATGGGAGTGAGAGCCCCGCGACGCTGGTTCAAGACAGACGCTCAGAAGGCTTCCTCCTCCCCAGATCCCACCGACCTCCTCCTCCCAGGCCAGGTCTGCCACTGCAAATCCAGCTCCCGCCCCCTCAAGGCAGCCCGACGCGTCCCGCAGCCCTAGCTCAGTCTGGCAGGCCGCCGCCCCCAACGCGGAGCTTCGTTCATTGATGACCGGGTCAGTGGGGCGGGCGAGACGAGCTCGAGCAACGGGTGTGCGAGGATCCAGGCGGGGATCCCGGGGCGAGTGCTTTCTCTGGGTGTCTATTAAGGAGATCATGGCGGCAGTAGTGAGGGCAGCGGGTACAGCACCTCGGGGCGCCCAGGGCGTGAAGCACAGTCCGGAGAAGAGAAGCCGGGAAACAGCCGAGGGGAGAACCCCCGGGTCTTCGCCGAAACATGCTCCTACCCCAGCTTCAAAACCGCTTCCCATTGGCTAAGCCCGCCCCCAATATTGACCAATCACACGTAGTCTTGTTCGGTGACTCTCGTCGTGGCCACACCCCTCCACAAATCAGAGAAGGGTGTTACTTGCGATTGGTTGAGGAGACCTATCCCGCCCGCTGCTGGAGAAAAAGGCAAACGCTGGTGGCGGGAAGTTTTCCGTGGAGAGCGGCTGAAAACTCTAAGTAGTTGTCCCGGGGGTCGGCGCTCTGAGGTCAGAGAGAGAGGCGGCTGGGCTGGAGTGGGGGTGAAGGGGTTCTTTAACCCCTTGGGGAGAGGTTCTGGGGTAAATCTGCTTTGAAAGGGCTAATTTTTCTTTTCCTTCCTGAGGGTGCGGCCGGTCTATCGCGTATCACTTCCGTTCACCCATATATTGGCAGGAGAGAAACGGGCGTTAATCCTCGCCCATCTCTGATGGAACTTAGTCCTTTAGGGGCACGTCAGACTGCCTACCCCTCTCTTTTTATCTCCAGCCTTTTTCTATGCAGGAAGCTTGGTTACCAACGTCTGTATATAGGCAGTCACCATCGGGGGACGCATAAACATAGTGGAGGGTATTATTACATTGCTATTGTTTTCTAAACGCAGGTGGTGGGGAGAGGGGGACGTGTATCTGATTTAGCCTGTGGTACCTCAGTGGCATTTACTCCAGTGTGCATGACTGGCTGTGACTTCGTGAAATATTTGCTGTGGATGCTGTCAAAAGTTCAGAAATAGCAGAAGGAAAACCAAAGAATCACGGAAGTAGTAATTAGTAAAAGTCTGTTGTGCACCCACCAAAGAACAGCTGGGGAACCAGGTGCACTCAAGCCAAAACAGGGAATGAGGATCAGGGGTATGTTGTTACAAAGCAGCTTAGAGAGTAAGAAGTCAGTGACTGTTTCTTCTTCACAGTGATTAGAATATTAACATTTTCTTAAGCGATAGGGAATTGGTTAGTGGTTACCTCATATCAACTTTGGGAAACTGTTTTTGCTTATGGTTTCCAGAGGTATAATTATCCAGGTGAAGTTAGTCTTACAAAATAAGCTAAAGTAAGCTTTGTATGACTAAAGTGGTTTTCTCTGCTCGGGGAATTTTTAAGGCTGGTCTCTCTCAGTTTTTGTTTTTTTTTTTTTTTTTAACAATTCTCCCCCTTTGAACATTATCTCAGCAGGGTGAGAGAATGACCAACCAGTACAGTATTATTTTTCAGTTTCCATCATTGATGTAGTCAGGCTGAAGGATCACATATTTGCTGTTGCCATTAGTCGAATCATCAGGGTGAGTGCCATGTAGTCACCATCTTCATCATTTATGTGGTTATTGTTGATTTCATCCAGTTGTCTGATCCTGTTGGATACCATTTGGCATATGAGTGGCAGCTGACAGGCCTTTAAAACCCTTAGGGTTAGACGACATATTAGTTAAATAAGATGACTGAAGGAGAACAATAGCCAAGGACTGAAAACTTCCCAGAGCAGATTCCCAGGTGCCAAGATTTAACCCACTAAATAAATCAAATGGATTTTAGTTTTTAAAAAGTTATTTACACTAGCATAACAAGATGTTTTAACAATCACCTCCTCATGCTGACTTAGGACTGGTTGAAGGTGAGATTGATTTATTTTAGGAGGTTGTGTGACAGGTGAACTTCCACCCAAATTAGGCCTCTGTATGGTGTGAGCAGTGAGGTAATTTAATGAGAGGCATTTCTATGGAACAAAAAGGTTAATAGTTCACGTAAATTATAAATTCACTGAGTTTGGAGATCAGCTAGTTGAGATAATTTCTAAGTGTTGGGGTTAAAACATCTTCAGATGGAGAGGCCAAGAATGGCAATCTGAGAGATTTTCCTGGTTTGCAGTTTGAATGTCTCGTGATCTTGCTGCATGGCCACAGAGCAACAGACACAAAGATTGCCCTCACATGAGTTGTTTTGGTGGTTTCTCTTAAGTTTATGTCAACTTGTCCAGCCTTAGCTTGCATGGCTTTGGGCAAAGCGCAGTTTTATTTTCATAGTGATTCCAACTCAGAAGAGTGGGAGAAAATTGGAGATGTTAGTTCAGAGAGTTCTAGCCAAATACTGGAGGAATTTAGAATTCAGAATCCAGTTCAGTTTGTGGGTAGAAAACAAAACCTCAAGGACAGTTAACAGCAGTAGAATCTGATATCCACAAAGGTGTATTACTGAAACTTCATTTTTCTCTTTGAAATTGTCCCTGTTTTTATCAAAGATGACCGCAGTAAGACTAATTTGTTTGTAAATTAAGTCTAGTTTCAAAAATTTGGCCTGATTATTTACATAAGTGCAGCAAGAATAGTGATTGACCAAATAGGCGCTTTTAAATCTGCTGTGCTGGAACTTGTGTCCTATTAAAAGGAGAACTGATTGAGCTTATGTAAATACATATATTGTCATGAAAAGTAAGGATATTCAAAAAGAATTACTGAATTCTGGAGGGATCGAGTAAGGAGAAAAAGATACTTGTTTTAACCTTTGTTTACAAAAGTATATTTTACTGAAGTGCTGTAAGCTATAGATAGCTTAAAACAGAGGAAAAAATAGGGCCCTTTAAATCTGGAAAACAAAACATTAAAGAACTAGCAATGTTTTAAATGAAGTCATAAAATTATAATCATCTTTAGTTCAGTCTCCTGTAATTCTTGTTTTGCTTCAACTTGGGTTAGCAACATTATGAATCAGTTTTCCATTAGACTTTTAGAAATCCTTACCTGTTCAGTGTTATGATCTTAAAGTTATCAGGAACCTGTAGTTGTCAGAGTCTTCTCCGTGACTTTCCTTACAGGTGAAGCACTTTTGTAGGAACACTTTTATGAAAATAACGGAGTAAAACAATAACTGCCAATGAGTGAAAAAAGATTTAAAAATAGCCATGGTTAAAGATCTCGTGAGAGTTCACACAAACACACACACACGCACACACAAATGGAATTGACAAATAAAATTGGTTATTTTTGTGATCTGTAGTATTTTAAGATAATAGCTGGAATTATGGCTAGATAACATTATACCAGGACGTGTCAAATTTTTAGGAATTTCATATAATCTTTGAATTAGTTATTAATATACCCTATATAAATTATGATCTAAGATAAAACATTTTTTGACAGTGTTTCCCATGCAAATTAATATATCAAATAAGTCTACATAAATTAACATTTCTCTTTTTACTTCATTCAAAAGTTGATTTGGGGAAGTTTGTTGAAAATATCAGAAGATTTAAAACATTTGATCAAATAGAATCATAGGTCACTCTTAAATAATACTTAGTTACCCATTCAACCAGAATGACAATTAGAAGATTTCAAAGGCAGAGATTCCTGTGGTGCTCTCTGTAAGTAGTGCTCTCACTGAGTGGCTGGAGTTGAAGAGAACATGAGTGAGGAGGTCCTGGAGTACTGTGCATTATGGTGTCCTAGCATGTTATCTGGAGCCAACATGGTACAGGTCTGGATTATTCCAGGGTGCTTTGTGCCTGATGACTTTGGCAAGTTGGCTGTTGCTGTAGCGAGCGTTGAGCAGGGGTGTTACAGTGTGCACTGCATTGGGGCTGTCTTGGTAGGTTGGCTTGGGATGATGTGGGCTAGGGAACCAGTGCTCACTGAGGCAGTAGGCTAGGGTACCTGGACTGTGCTCCCATCCATGCTATGAAGGTAGAGGGGAATGTAGAATCTGGCACTCACCAGACCCTCCAATCCAGAGAAATTTCCAGCAGCTTCCTTACCATTTGGTGGAGTTCTAGGGCTAGATACTTCATATTCTAGTTGCTCTTTTAAACTGTAGTTTTTTTTCTGTGCCCTAGGGGGTCCAAGTTTGATGTGGTTTAGAGGCCCAGGGCTCACTGAGGCAGCAGGCCAGCTATGGCATCCATAACCTGTTCCTGTCTGTGCTGTCAAGATGTACTGGAAACAAACCATGGCACTTGCCAGCCTCTCAGATGTGGAGAGAGTTCTAGTTGCTGTCCTGCCATTTGGTAAGGTCCTAAGGCTGGTTCCTTTATATTCTAGTTTCCCTCTCAAACTGTGGCTTTTTTTCTGTGTACCAGGGCAGATGAATCTGCTCATAGCCCCTCAGTGCTATCCCTCCCACTGCAGTTCCACAGCATTTGGGGGTGGCGGGGGGGCTCCTTTGTTAGAGTGTGTCTGTCTGTCTTGTTGTTCTTTATGTGATCTTTGTATCTTCTGGTGTGCTGAAGCTGTTCAGTCCATCCCCAGTTCTTCTTTAGGAGGAATTGCTCTATTAATAGGTGTAGATTGGTTGTATCTGTGGAAGAGATGAGTTCAGGCTCTTCCTGTGTTGCCATCTTGAATCAGAAGCTCTCTGTCAGGTAGGGCTTGATCAGAGAAGCAGAGGCACTGTGAGTGATATAAGGGATTTATTAGAGGGATTTAACCTTATGTGATTATGTGAAGTGGTCAAGCTCTTCCCTGGCATATGTTTGCCTGTGTGTCTGGCACTGGGCCTGAAGTCAGCAGAGCCAGCAGTCAGGAAGAGAAGGCAGATACACAGTGGGGAGTGCAAAAACAAAGTGCAGCCGGTGAGGATGAATCCTGTTTCTTAACAGAACCTGCATTAGTCTCATTGCCTCAAAGTCTCCAGTTTGAACGATGCAAGAGACCTGCCAAAGAGCTGGTTGCATACTGCTCGGCTGAGGATTTAGAGAAGCTGAAGGAGAACCCACAGGGTCTGGAGCAACTGCAAACTCTGCTCTTTCCAAAAGGATATCTGGCAGCAGTTAGAGTTGCAGTTATTTGTTTGGAAAATAAGCCCACTGTTTCACTTCTGCCCTCCAAATCTCTGGCTGCCCAAGGAAGCACAACTGTCCCTTGAACAACCAAATATAAATTAATCCTCTCCCCAAAAGAGGGCACACATTCTTGTTATACGTATTTGGATGCTGCTTATTCCTCTTCTTGCTGAATCACATTCTTTTTGATAATCCTCTAACTTAAATCCTGAGATATGAAGTCAGCTCTTATTAACATTTTATTTTAGATGTTGGGAGAATAGGAGAAGGGACCCAAATACATAGATATATACATACATACCCACCACCACCAACAACAAAATAATGAAGAAATGCTTATAGTTATTATAATCCTGTTTCTCTCTGGTCATGTGGTCATTAGATGTTATTTTATAACTATCTTCTTCAGTTTCCCATTCCTTACTCCTTTGCTCTCAGCAGGCACCTCATCTAGTGACAAATGTCTGGTGTGTGGACTCGCCTTAGCAATTTGCTTGTATTTGGCTTTTGAGTTTTCCACTAACTTTAATCACAGGACATGGGAATACCAGAAGGTACCCTAGGGGATCCCCTACATTTCATACCTACTCCTCCGTACTTCAGTAGTGTCACAGCAGTCCTATTTCTCTTGAATAGTCAGAATCACTCACCTCAGCCAGTACAGTAACCTGGTTCTTTGCCTGTTGATTCATTGGTATGAGGAGCTCAAAGTGGTCAAGAGGCAGTCCACTTCCATTTAAATGGAGCCATTGCTTTTTCCCCTGGTGGAAGCATTCCTTCCTTGCTGAGACCTCTAAACCAGCAAAGTTCTAAGTTTCAGGGATGGGAAGCAAACATTTCACTAGTGGATCACTAGGAGGTAATAGCAAGAGGAGCCACTCCCATTTCCACCCCGATTCCTAGGCCCAGGAATCCTATCTACGGGACAAACCGTGCTGTTCACTGTTTTGGTAGGTAAGGGCAATTATACTGGCTTCCACTTGGTCTTTTCTTCCATAATAGTCCTTACTTATAGGCCAGGGGACCAATATGTGGATTTGGTTAGTTGCTGAATTTATCTGTTCTAATAATACAATCTGGAACTGGGGAAATAATCACAGAGTGGGTTAGAGAACCTTCTGAGCCCACTGTGTGATGGACTGAGCAAAACTGCACTGGTCACGTGACTTGCATAAGTCCAGTCCCTGTTCTGACTGGTAGATCACCATGGCATTTTAATCATCCAGGAACTGTCAGTTCTGAGTTAATGTCCAATACTTTCTGAGAAGTTATTTTCCTTTCCCAAATACACAGTTACCCTGATAAGTTGCTCTGGAGAACACTAGTGTGAAGATTTCCTACATAATTTTTAGTTATGTAATAGAGGCCTTCCTCAAAGGGCCCCAACCTCTACTTTATTCAAGGGACTCTGGGTCTATAAATTGGCTCATTTCTGGGAACTGGTTGAAGGACTATGACACTTATGTGTACTGGAATCAGGGCTTTGTATTCTGCATTTTTAAATCAAGTAA